AATAGAGTTTTAATACACAAGCGTGGATGGGTTGAACCACCTGATTTCCCTCTCCTACAGTCACTTGTGGTAATGAAGTGAATAAAATAAAGGCATTGCTGTTTTCCATTAAACTGTATTACTCTCAAAAGAAATCAAAACTTTAAATATTAAAAAAAATCCATTTCAGGCCAGGCGCAGTGGGAGGCGCCTGTAATCCCAGCACTTTGGGAGGCCGAGGCAGGTGGATCACGAGGTCAAGAGATCGAGACCATCCTGGTCAACACGGTGAAACCCCGTCTCTACTAAAAATACAAAAAAAAATTAGCTGGGCATGGTGGTGCGTGCCTGTAGTCCCAGCTACTCAGGAGGCTGAGGCAGGAGAATTGCCTGAACCCAGGAGGCGGAGGTTGCGGTGAGTCGAGATCGCGCCACTGGACTCCAGCCTGGGTAACAAGAGCGAAACTCCATCTCAAAATTTTAAAAAAGCCATTTCAAATCTTGGACATTAAGAGATTAGTCTGGAATACTGCCTCCACTGCTTGACCCATAAACAGACTTCAGAATATCACATCATTAAACCTAAGTGAGTTTTATTTTAGTAAAATGAAGTTAAATAATAGTCTTATGAATATCCAGAGAACTGTGCACTTATAATATGCACACCTATTTGTAACTTATACTTTAATGTTAGTCTCTCTATTTCTCTCCTCTGTCTCTTGCACTCTCACTCTCTCTTTCTTTCATAATCCTTGCTCACAGTCATCTCTTGGGAATATTGTGAGAATCAGAGAGGCTGATGTACTTGGCAATGATCTGTAGACCATCAAGCATTAGAAGAAGAAGAGGACACCCATCATTACAGAGCAGGTGGCCTCACACGCCCACACCTGTCAGAAATGGGACTGGGAAGAGGCAGTGGGACGGCATTGAGAGAAGAGGCTGAAAGAAGGCGGGTTCCACCCCGCACCAGCTGTGCAGCTTAGGCAATTATTTGACTCCTCTGTCCCAAGTTTATCTGCCTGTAAAGTGGGCACAATAACCATTGCTTCACAGGATAAATGCCAACAGAGTGTGCTAACTATGCAAATACATGACGGCCGCCTCCTACAGCTGCCCACACCTCTCTCCTGCCCGCCTACCTGCTGGCTTTAGTCCTTCCTTGTGCTCTCAGAGGCTGCTGCTGTCTGCCCAGCCCCCTGCTCCCCACCCCCCTACCCCCTGCCTGCTCATCCTGTGTGAGGGCATTTTGGGGCCAGATGCCATGCAAGATGACACGGAGGAGGCAAAGCAGAGCTGGTCCTCAAGGGTCCACCCTGGGGTCCTGGTTCCAGGCCTTCTCATCTTCCATTCTCCCCTTCTCTGTTCATAGATCACTCTTTTGCCCATTTCGTTAAGGTGTTTAACCTTCCGAAGCCTCGATATACTTGTGTGTAATAAAAAGAAAAGAAATAACAGGTTCAAGAAACCAGACAGCAGGGTGAGGATAGAGGTGAGAGCCTTCATTGATAGAAGTATCTTTTCTTGGCTCTGAGCAGTGAAGCAATGCACCCAGGGTCACAAAGACAGAAGGAGGCAGCCAGGATTTTAGCTCAAGCAGCCTGATACCAAAGCCTTGTCTCCCTCTCAGTGCAGTTGCGTAGGGGGCTAGACCACAATCTTCTCCATCTTCTCCCCTGATGTCCAATCTAAGCACAAGCAAGGGGCTTGCTATGGACCCACAGCTTCAGACAAGCCCCAGCCACACCCACCTGCACTGAATGGCCTCCCCTTCCTGCCACTTTGATGCAGAGATAGGAGGTGCGCCAGCACAGAGCTGCCCCCAGTGGAGAGGGCGGGGAGGGTGAAGCTGATGCTCGCCTCTCAGAACTGCCTTGCCAGCCCCAATATCTAGGTCACCCTCCTAATCCCCAGTGTGATGACTCACCACTTGCCTCTGTCACAGCCTGATAAAGAACTTGAGCCATTAAGAAATGGAACAAATTACTAAATGGGAGGCACAAGAGAAACCCAGGATTAAATTAGTTCATTATTCATAAATCATAAATGACGCTCCCTCTCACTGATGCTTGTCTCTGTCTACCTACTGGTCTTGCAAGAGCGACAGACTGCTATAGGCAGGAGATCAGAGACTCAGGAGGCCCATTCTGAGGACCCTGGAGGTGGCAGCCACCTTTAGGCACAAGAGCTGGGCTGGTCTCGGCCACTGTGGCCTCTGGGCTACTTTCTGGACTGCAGGGTCTTGGAACTGAGTGACCAGGTTTGTAGGGTGATACAGCGCCTGCTGTGTCATGGGAAGGTTCTGATACCTGAGGTATCTAGTAGGGTTGAGACACAGTTGTTGTGTGAGCCGGGTCGCCTCTACGAAGTATGCCACCTCTGTGCACTGGGTCACCTCTGCGGATATGTCACCTTGGAGGGTCATATCACCTTTGTGAAGCATACCACCTCTGTGGAGTATGTCATCACCTCTGTGGTGTGTGTCACCTCTGTGGATTATGTCACCTCTATGGGCCATGTCACTTCTGTGGGCCAGGTCACCTCTGTGGAGTGTGTCACCTGTGTGGGCCAGGTCACCTCTATGGCTTGTGTCACCACTATGAGCCATGTCACCTCTGTGACCTGTGTCACCTCTGTGGGCCATTTATCACTTTTTTGAGGCATACCACCTCTGTGGGCCATGTCACCTCTGTGGGCCATTTATCACTTTTTTGAGGCATACCACCTCTGTGGGCCATGTCACCTTTGTGGGCCATCTATCACTTTTTTGAGGCATACCACCTCTGTGGGCCATGTCACCTCTGTGGGCCATTTATCACTTTTTTGAGGCATACCACCTCTGTGGGCCATGTCACCTCTGTGGGCCATTTATCACTTTTTTGGCATACCACCTCTGTGGGCCATGTCACCTCTGTGACTTGTGTCACCTCTATGGAGCATGTCACCTCTGTGGGCCAGGTCACCTCTGGCTTGTCACCTTTGTGGCTTGTGTCACCTCTATGGAGCATGTCACCTCTGTGGGCCATGTCCCCTTTGTGAGCTATGTTACCCATGGGGGGGTGTCACCTCCTCAGAGCATACGACATTTCAAGGCCTATGTCATTCCTGGAATGTACCTTCTTTCCTACCGGCGTGTCTCATGACTGAGAGTTCCTTGATGCTTTTCTGTCCTGGCTGGAAACAGGAGCAGCCCGGGCGCCTCCTGGGGCCTGTCGTGCTTGGAATGGACCCAGGACGGAGAGGGACCAGCTAACCCAGTGCCAAGGACACCAGGGCATCTGCTCCCCATCCCGGAAGGAGATCCCGCCCCTTTCTCAGCCAAGCCCCGCCCTGCAGGTCTGCAAGCCTCCACCAAGGAAGGCGGAAGCAACCGGGGCGGGGTCTCAGGGAGCCCGAGAGGCAGAGCCCGGGAGGAGGCCTGAGTGGGCTGGGGAGGTAGTGAACCCTACCAGGATTGCGGAAAGGGACACGAGAGAGAGAAGAGCCGCCCCCTGCTGGTCACAACTGGGAAAGGCGCTGCAGTCTGGGCACGGGGCCAAGAAAGGAGGAACTGCAGTGGATCCCGATGGACATCTCTTTGCTGCTCTTAGTGTCACCCCAGCTGCATGCATGACTCCTAAGCTATGGGTCAGGGAGTCCCGAACAACCAGCAGTGTTATTCTAGAGCTACTTACATGAGGGTGTTTTCCTCACTGGAGCTTACTGGGATTGTGCAAGTGGCAGGGACTACTCTCTAGGTCACCCAACATCTTTTCTGTAGTCTGAGGAGCCAGTTGTATTTGAAGGGTGAGCTCAGGCTAGAACAGAGGTGAAGGGAGGTGAAAAGGTGACCAAACAGCTGGGTGGTGCAGAGTGCCTGACAGCAGGAGGTGGGCACAGGTTCTTCTGTAACACAGTCAGTGCCATATGCTAACAGCCTGCCATGTGCCTGCTGTACCCAGGGTCTCTGAACCTAGCAGTGTCCCTGTGCACATCTCACAGGTGAGGAAATTGAGGTCTAGTAAATGAAGAGTGTCTGTGCCAGGATTTTAATCCAGGTCTGAAGAACTTCAAAGTCCATGTTTTATTCATGTCACTTCCGAATTTGGGCCCATTAGCAGGTCCAATGTGCTGGCATCTTAGCAGCAGCTAAAGCAGGCATCTGCAGCCCCCTCTTGGTCTTGCCACACAGTCCTGGCTACTCTGACATTCTAATTGGGAGGAAGGTCAGATTTTTCCATTCTCTGTATCCAAATTCATCTTGTCCTCTTTGATTCTTGGATTTGATCACTTCCCACCCCACCTCTTACTTAACTGTTCCTTCGGCAAAATTCCAGCCTTAGCCAAAAGGGCACTGTTCCTACTGAAGTCAGAAGTCAGAACCTCCTCCCTTTAGCCTCTCCAAGCTCCATCACAGCCGGCTCCTGAACTCAGCCCGTTGCTGACATGCACAGACAGTGCCCTGGCCCATCACGGAGGCTCCCTGGGATCCCACAACCCATCTGACTCGACACTGATTTTTACAGCTTTGCAAATAGTTGCCTTAGTTCCCTTTCCCTGAATGCATTATAAAGTTAAAGGGAGAAAAAGAAGTCTTTTAAAAAATCCCCCAGCTATCTTAATTAACATGCAGAATGCTTTTCTGGCAGTGCACAGGCTGTGATAAAACGGGAAGCTTCTTAACACAACATATATTTAATCTGTGGCATTCGCTTCCACATGAAATTCAATCAGATATTTTAAGGGAGTTAACAAGGGCTCTCAGATCGAACTGTGAATAAATGCAGGTGTGATAAACACACTCAAGCTACTGAGATGTTTTATCAAATGATAAAGGTGTTGAATGGGGTGGGATTGAAGGACAAACCTTAACTCTAATTCTCTACGCTGTCAAAGAGGTTATGAGAATTTATTAGACAATGCCAGGGTGATCTAATGACCCATTGCCTCTGAAAAATCAATGAGACTTTGCTCATTTGTTCTGTTTTTCCAGGAATCTTTAATTCAAGTCTGCTGTATGCCAGGCACTGGGGAGGCAGGGACTGACCAATAATGCAGTTCCCGTCTCTGCCCTCAGCCCCAGCTCTCCCTGATGAAACTCACAATCTAATAGGGAAAGGTGGCTGATAAATAGGTGAACAAATGCAAATGATAATTTCCAATTGGGTTAAGTAACACAGTAAATGAGAGGGCATTCATGTAAGACATCTGCAAGGAGTTGATGGTGGAAGTGAGACCTGAAGGATGAGGAAGAGCCTGCCATGCACCAGGGAAGAGCCTGTTGAGGCTTCTGAGACCACAGAGCCTGGGCATGTTGGGAAACCAGAAAAGAGCCAGGACTTGGTGAGTAGGCAAGCACTATAAACCAGCATTGGGTCGTATAGGTAAGCCTAACAACTTATCCTTTCTTTTTTCAAATTAAAGGTTTCATCGGCTACGCATCTGTGGGAAAAGGATGGTTGTTTGGCTGCTGGCGTAAGGAGAATAGTTCCCTACAGGGGGAAGAATAAAACCGCAACTTCCATCACATGCAAATGTGAACACCTGAGAGATCCAAGACCTTGCTGTGTGAAAGCCAACAGAAATAAAGAGTTAATAGGAAGGAAAGGAGGGGAATATCTTTGTTTTGCTGGGATGAGAAGGGTATCTTAACATAATTCAAAAACATAACCCTCAGATGGAAACTGGGTGAATCTGACTACATCAAAATCAAGAATTTTTTTAAAGAACACTTTAGTCAAAGAAAACAGCTGGGTGAAGACTTGGAGCAGATTTTGCATTGTCTGAAGCCAAAAGATATTATCTAGAACAAGAGTTGGCAACCTGCAGCCTATAGGGACAAATCCAGTTAGTTGCCTATGTTTGTAAATAAAAATAAAGTTTTAATGGAACGCATCCATGCCCATTCATTTATGCATTTATGTCTATAGCTGCTTTTGTGCTACATTAGCCGAAATGATATGACCTTCAAAGCTTAGAATATTTAATATCTAGCCCTTTACAAAAAAAAACAAAACAAACCAACAACAACAAAAAAAAAAAAAAAAAAACCTGTGTCAACTCCTTATCTAGACTACAAGGAAAATGGGTAGGAAACTCACCAGAAGAACTGGCAAAAGCTATGAATTGCCAGTTCATTGGACAGGAAATGAGCTGGCTAACTAACACCTGATGGAATGACTAATCTGGCCAGAATTTAGAAGAGTATGAATTGAAGCAATATTGAGATTCTTGTAATGCCTATCGGATCTTCAAAAATTGTAAAAGTAAGTGTGAGGAGTCCCTAGAGAACCAGTAAGGCACTGCTGGTAAAGCTGACTTCTGGGTATGTCTGGGAGGAGGATGCCTGTGGAGGAGACTGGTGTGTGAGTCAATGGACTGAGTGGGGAAGATCTGCCCTCATGTGGTCAGGCACCATCCAATCTGCTGGGGGCTGGAACAGAACAAAAAAAGCCAGGTACAGGATTTCTCCTTTCTCTCCTAGAGCTGGGGATGCTCTGCTCCTCCTGCCCTTAGACATCAGAATTCCAGATTCTCTGGCCTCGGGACTCCAGGACTTACACTGGAGGCCCCTCAGGTTCTCAGGCCTTTGGCTCTGGGACTCCAGGATTTATACCAGCAGCCCCTCGGGTTCTTGGGCCTTTGGCTTTGTACTGCAAAACCTTGGTTTTGAGGCCTTTGAACTTAGACTGAGCCACACTCCTGGCTTCCCTGTTCTCCAGCTTACAGATGATCTATCATGGGACTTCACAGCCTCTGTGATCACATGAGCCAGTCCCCCTAATAAATCCCCTCTCCCATATCTATATGTATATCACATTGGCTCTGTCTCTCTGGAGACCCTACTACAGAAAGTAATACCAAGTGCTGGTTAATATGAGAAAAAATAGGAATCCTGAAGCTGTCAGTAAGAGTGGAAATGTGTCTCGCCATTCTGAAGAGCATCTTGCAGTATTTGTTGGTTGAGCAACATGAAATTGCCAATATTCACCCTGAGAAGGATTCCCTGGGAAGGCTTCCCGTGCCCTGCTCCCCACCCAGCTCCGCTGGACAGCAAAGTCAGGCGTGAGCATTATTGACTGTGCACCCTGCATGGAGCTCGCCCCCTCCTTCATTTCCAGGAGGATGCTATTGTTCCCTTTCCCTCTCACAAAGAGCCATGCATTGGGAAGGGAAGCAGATTCCACCCCAGCTCCAGGGCTGGGTCAGAAATAGGCATGTGGCCAAATTTAGGTCCCAGTGATTGAAGGTAAGTTTGCCAGCAGCTTTTTGGGAAGTTTTCTTTATTCTCCCAGAAGAGCTTCCAGAATCAGTTCTGTCTGTCTTCTCTTGAACATGAGCTGTGGATGAGATGGCTTTGGTGTTCTGAGCCCCACATTTGCTTGGACAGAAGACTATGCCAATACCTAGAAGAGGGCAAAGCAAAAAGAACCAAGGTGGGGGTGGGGGGAAGCAGAGCTAAGATATAGACTAGGTTAACCTCGACTCTTACTCAACCCCTGGGTTCCAGCTGAGTGATCCAGAATGATTTAAGCTGGCTCATGTTAGATTTTCTCACTTGCAAGGAAGGTACCCTAACTGACAGAAACCCTTTGAGAGCTGTGGAGATTTCAATCTGTGCCTCACTTCCAAGTGAATATTGCAAGCTTCTCAGAGAAGAACCCCCCCTCCCACACCTGCAACCCTCCCCACACACAAATACATGCTGGCCTGTGAGAGTGTGCAGGGGAGAAACAGCTAAGGGCACATCTATGCAGTGAGGACTCACAGCCTCTGAACTCCCTGCATCCCCTGCCCCCTGGGGTGGGACAGTGCCTAAGCGCCCTAAAATGGAGATTAAGGCAGAGATGCTTGTGGAAGTCATTTATCCAGGAGGTGCTCTAGGAGAACCACCGCAAAAGTGAGGGAAGCAAGGAAGGTCAGCGGAAGGAGCCAGGCCAGGACACGGGCCCAGCTGGAGTCTGGTTGCAGCCTGATCACACAAGGAACTCGGGAACACGAATTGCACCACCAAATGGCTCCCATCTGAAGGCAAGGGGGTCTGGCCTTTTATAGGTTTTCATCAGTCCATCATTGGCTTTATGCTGCCCAAGGGAAAGACCTAAATGCCCCCTTCCCAGATGCAGCGCCACCCACTGGCCAAGGGCAATTCCTGAGGCAAACAGGTGTGACCCCTTAGGCTTTCCACATTCAAGCTGCTGGGGCAACAGTGCACAGTCTGGAAGAAAGGGTTTGGGCCACCAACTATATCCAGTGCAGTCAGTAAGGCCAAATAGCCCTCATTCCCCCTGAGAAGGCACTGAAGGAAACGACAAGAGGAACTGGTGGCCAAGACAAGAGGAACACAGCAGTGGGTGCTAGGAAGACCAGAGGCTATGGAGGGACAGGATGTCATGGCAGATGTCAGTGTGGCAGAAAGCCATTGTGCCTTGCCACAATAAGAGGGTGTCATCCCAGTTGATACCAGGTGGGACAGATAACAATCAGGAACCAGATATACCCCCTAACCACCACACTACATACCCTCCCCCACTGGCATCTTAGCCTAGGGACAAGGGGGAAGAGAAAAAGGCTTGAACTGACTAAAATTCAGTTTTTCACCACCAGGCAGAATGGGACTCCAGGATAGAAACCAAATTCAGCTAAAGAAAAAGTTACATTTGTTTGCCGTCTGATTTGCAATCACCACATGTGCTCCTACTAAACATAAAAGAATGTCATTAACAGGAAAAGGCTGTCAGCAAGTTCATTAATCATGGTCTTTTTCACACTTCCATGGTCAACTACAATTGTGATGGTTTAGACTGAGGCCTCCCACTTAATTACATTGTTTAGCAATTAACAGTTCATCCCCTACCATAGGCCTCCCCTGGCTTTCAGAAAAAGATAAAGTGCTGGAGTTGTACAAGTGTTCTTTGCAGGAGTGCCCCTTACTTGGGCAAAGGGCCATGACTGGTGTTACCAGGACAATCATTTGTTGCTGAGGGAACAGTTTCATTTTCAATGAAGTTACTAATAACTTGGCCTTATCTGTGAACCCCAAGTTGGTTGAGGGCATTGGTGACATACAGGTCCCTCACAGGGCAGCCAGGTGACCCTAGAATACAACTTCTCTTAACCACAGCCTTCTCATCTGTCATCTGTAAATGGGACTAACAACAGAAACCTGGTCAAAAACTTAAATGACACATTTCAGGTAAAATGCCTGGGAAAAGGTGTGGCACGTAGCACTCAAAATTGGATATTAATGTGTTACATCTTAAACTTTTTAAAACTTTATTGAGCACCCGTACAGAAAAGTGCATACATAATCGTGCACTTGGTAAATTTCCAAAACATGACACGCCTATGTAGCCAGCACCCAGATGAAGAAAGGGAACATCACCAGGGCCCCAGAAGCTCTTTCTCATGCCCGCTTCTGGTTAGTACCACCCCAGTGGTAACAATTCCACTGATTTCCAAGAGCATAGACTACTTCTGCCTAGTTTTGTATTGATATAAATAGACTGTGCATACTCTTTTGTGTCTGGCTTCTTTCACTCAACATTATGTTTGTAAGATTTATTCATGGTGCATATAGTTGTGCTTCATTCATGTTCATTGTTGTATCGGTTCCATTGTGCAAATATACCTCAATTTATTTATTCATTCTTCAGCTTTATGGGCTTGGGGGTGGTTTTAACAAGGTGAATATGAATAAAGCTGTTCTGAACATTCTTGCCTAAATCTTTTCTTCTAATTTAAACTTTTTATTTTGAGATAATTATAGATCCACATGCAAATGTAAGACATAATAGAGAGAGACCTGGTGTACTCTTTATCTGGGTCCCCTCAATGGTAACATCTTGCAAAACTGTAGTAAAATATAACAACCAGACTGGCATTGATACAAACCATAGCTCTTGTTCAGATTTCCCCAGTTGAACATGTCCTGGGTATTGTCTCTCTCACTCTCTCTCTCTCTCTCTGTGTGTGTGTGTGTGTGTGTGTGTGTGTGTGTGAGTCATATTTATTTATTTACCTGAAACAGGGTCTTGCTCTGTTGTCCAGGTTGGAATACAGTGGTGCAATCAAGGCTCGCTGCAGCCTCAACCTCCCGGTCTCAAGTGATCCTTGTACCTCAGCCCCCCTAGTAGCTAAGGCTGAAACCACACCCAGCTAATTTTTGTAAGGTTTTTTTTTTTGTTTTTTTTTTTTTTTTCAGAGATGGGGTTTCACCATGTTGCCTAGGCTAGTCTCAAAATCCTGGTTTCCGGCAATCCTCCCTGTCTTGGCCTCCCAAGTGCTAGGATTACAGGCTTAAGCTATCACGCCTGGCCAAGTTCTAGATTTTTATCACCTGTGGAGGTTCATGTATCTGCCACTACAGTCGAGATAGCAAATGGTTCCATCACCAACAGCCGTGAGGAACACACTTGAAAAAGGATTGGCCAAGACCTTGATTGCAATGCTGTGAGAGACCGTGAGCCAGAACCACCCAGGGAAGCCCTCCTGGATTCCTGACCCTCAGAAACTGTGTGAGATAATCATTTTTTGTTCTAAGCTGCCAAGTACTGATATATTTTGTTACACAGAAATAGATAACTAACATAGATACCTATATCAGACACTTGATTCAAACGTAGACCCCTGAGCTTACCCCAGACCTAGACTCTGACTTCATAAACTCTCCCGGGCTGTTATGAAGTGCATTCTTTGTTTGAATCGCTAACTTCACGTGATTTACCTCACCTCTCTAACCCTCAATTCCACGCCTGAAAAAACGGGCATAATCATACCTCATAAGCTATGAGAGCTTTGGTGATTGTTGTGTGTTTTAGTTGTTGCTGTTGTTGTTTTGACCTCTGGGTTTAAGGCAATGCACATATAGCCCAGGCGCTGGCCCTCATGGTGCC